GCGTGTCACAGGCTCATACGAATATTTATTGCCAATATTTGACAGACTTCTGGTTCTTTCAATACGCAAGTTTTTATATTATTTTATTTTCACAAAACAGGATGACACTGAACGTTCTTCAAAATTGTGGCATTCTGTAGCCTACTTGTTTAAAAGAATTGACAGTTTAGAGATTTTTATTCTTTAAATACTACATACTGTTTTTCCAAATGTATCATCAACATCCCTTAGAACACAAAGTAATTAGAGTTTGCCAAAGCAGGGGTTCTATCATCCTTCCTTCAAGTCTAATATGGTACTCAGCACAAAAAAGAAACTCAATTTAAGACAGTCTACTTGGAGTTTGAAAACCTTCCATTCTTTAAGAAACACATACTATGTACGGGGCACTGTGATAAGTACTTGGGATAAATGTTTAAGCAGAAGAGACTCAATCCCTGCCCGCCTCACAGTGTTTTTAATCCAGTGAATAGGATACGAATTTAAGAAAGAATTGGATAACAGTATTTCTACAAACGTGATGAACACTATGAAGGAAAAATAGGGGTGCCATGAAGTATGTGAAGACCTGATCTACTATGACAGATGAGGAAGCATTCCTGAGGAACTTATGATCGAGCTGAAGGAAAAGTGTTGTTCAACAGAGATAACAAAGGGGGAGGAAAAATGATTTCCGGCAAGGAACAGAAAGTATGCAAAGATCTTGAGGTAGAAGAAAACGTGTATCCAAAGAAGGTTGGCCAATATAATTCATAAGAACTGGCCGGGCCGGGCACGGTGGCTCACGCCTGTAATCCCAGCACTTTGGGAGGCCGAGGCGGGCGGATCACAAGGTCAGGAGATCGAGACCATGGTGAAACCCCATCTCTACTAAAAATACAAAAAATGAGCCGGGCGCAGTGGCGGGCGCCTGTAGTTCCAGCTACTCGGGAGGCTGAGGCAGGAGAATGGCGTGAACCCAGGAGGCGGAGCTTGCAGTGAGCCAGGATCACGCCACTGCACTTCAGCTTGGGTGACAGAGCGAGACTCCGTCTCAAAAAAAAAAAAAAAAAAAAAGAACTGGCCGGGCACGGTGGCTCACGCCTGTAATCCCAGCACTTTGGGAGGCCGAGGCGGGCGGATCATGAGGTCAGGAGATTGAGACCATCCTGGCTAACACAGTGAAACCCTGTCTCTACTAACAATACAAAAAATTAGCCAGGCGTGGTGGCGGACACCTTTGTCCAAGCTACACGGGAGGCTGAGGCAGGAGAATGGCGTGAACCCGGAGTCAGAGCTTGCAGTGAGCCGAGATCACACCACTGCACTCCAGCCTAGGTGACAGAGCAAGACAAAAAAAAAAGAACTGTGGTTGCAAGGACACCAGGTAATAAGTTACTGCAGTCGTCCAGGTAAGAGATGATGGTAGCTGAGATTAGGAGGACAGTAATGAAGATAACAGGAAAGAAGGCCGATTGAAGAGATATTTAGGAAGAAATCAGTGTTACACTGCAGCCATGGCTTATTTAGTAGAGTTTTAAGGATGACAGACCTTGAGATTTTTTTACCTGTGATACCAAATAGTAAATAAGCTAGAATCTGAGCTTATCTGATGCTCCCCAAAGAGCCAGATAGCTATTGCAGCCACATTCTCTAACAGCAGTAACATCTTAGCAATGTTGATTTTTGGAAGTGTGCCAGAAGGCTGTGACCAAGACCACAGTAAAATCAAGCATTTATTTTAAAAATAATTATATATTATAGGTCCCACTTCCAACTATCAGAACCATCCCAAATGATAAAATTACTGGTATTTGCAAGGAACATATCTGTAATATCACATTATATCATTTATTTTCTCTCCTTTGTACTTCTGTGAAAATAAGATTTTAAGGCATGGGGGAAAGGGGAATAGGAATTTATAGTATTCGGAGTTAACTTTCAGCATAAATTTATAAAGTAACTTTTTATTTTTTTATTTTTTGGGATGGAGTCTCACTCTGTGGCCCAGGCTGGAGTGCAATGGCGCAATCTCGGCTCACTGAAAGCTCCGCCTCCTAAATTCCAGGAATTATCCTGCCTCAGCCTCCCAAGTAGCAGAGATTACAGGCACACGCTACTATGCCCGGCTAATTTTTGTATTTTTAGTAGAGACAGGGTTTCATCATGTTGGCCAGGCTGGTCTCAAACTCCTGACCTCAGGTGATCCACCTACCTCAGCCTCCCAAAGTGCTGGAATTACAGGCGTGAGCCACTGCACCTGGCCTAAAGTAACATTTTTGTCAGGCATATCATATAATACCTGAGAATATCAGGGGTAAAAGAGTCAATCACCGTTATATCTTAAAGATGCTATGATGTCAAAGAAACAAATGTCATTTTATAACATACATCAATGTTCACGATGTATAGTAATAAAAGCTACTTCCACACTAGTAGTTTTTTGATCAGGTAAAAATAAGACACATATACTTATGAACTCTATTCCTTTCCTTGTTTCAGATGATAAACACATGGAAATTTCTGTAAGTCTTCTTTCTGCTTTATGTAACCAGCATAATAAAATCTCTATTAAAATCCAACAGTAAACTTAAAATTAAGAAGAAGCCTACAAAGTCCTCTTTGAAATGGATCAACACTATTGTCCAAATACCCCAGTATTGGAACTTCTACCTCAGCTCTCCTTAATTCCACGAAGCAGGCATTTTAAATAAGAGGCTAAGGAGAAATAATTTCTAGTGTTTCATTTTAACATACTAGTTCTCTCTCATAGGCCCCAGCCCAAACCCCACACATTTGTGGATCTTTTGATAATACATTCTAAAATCTATTTATTTCTCTCTCTCTCTCTTTCTTGCTACTTATATTCCCATAGAAAAGTACCTTCTTTTGTTTTAGGTGGTCTAACGTTCACATATTCTCCTTTGGGCACTATCAGAACACTATGGCATGCTTGCAGTTTTACAAATTTTCCGACATGCTATGCTAAAACACAGTAATTAGCACTGTGGTCCCACAGATAATATAGAATCCTAACAGAAACGCTAGCATGAAAGAGAAACATCACTTAGCCCAAACCCCAAGCTGAGCAAAGTGTAAGTCAACAGATGACTAAGAGTTTCTTATTAATGACAGGTAACATAATTGATAAAAACCTAGGAATGTGCATCTTATTTATGCCTCTACAATCCTTGAGTTCCTAAAAATGTCACATCTGCAATGATGGGAGACATATTAAATTACTAATATAGTAACCAATCTCTAAAACTGTCAATAAATCAGAGTCACAGAAGTTCAGGATAATGAGGGACCTTGGTGAGAATCTAATACATCTCATTTTACAGATGAATATAGTAAGGGATGGGAAATGTACTGAAATTATATACGTAATTTCTAGAAAATAGGAAAGGCTTAAATACTTGCAGCATGACAGAACTCAGGTTTGGTTTCCTATGTGTACTCTTACTATGTCTCCAAGTTGAAAAAAAGAGTTTTTTTAATCTATGTGGATTGAAAACATAAATTCCTGAATAGGTCTTAATTCTTGATAGCTTAAACACTGAAACTGTAAGGGCAAGCAAATGTACATTTTTTTAAATGCTGTGTATCATACCACATATTTTCATCTCCACCATACTACAACAAAATCTCTAGACCCACACATAACACATATAGTACATCAAGCTTATGGTTAATTATTTTTATAACCTAAGAAATTAAAAACTATATAGTGGTCTTAATGAAAAGTAGCTAAAAAAGGGAACATGCAGCTCTACGGAGAAGTCAAAGGAGAAAAGTGAATCCTAGTTTTTCCTCGGAGATGTCTGAAATACAGAGTGGGATGATCCAACCTCATGAGTTCCAATTGTTATCTATAGAAGCCTCAGGCTTTCTGCATCAAGAGCCCCATTCTGTCCCAATCTGCTGTTCCAAATGACTAACCAACCACCTGACTGAAGCTCCCCAAAGCCTTCAGGGAAATTTGGTTACCCAGGGATTGCTCTGTCCTCCCCAAAATGAATGTTTATTATATTCTCTAGACAAAGCTCTGGGAAACAGAAATAAAGGTCTCATTTAATTCCCCTTATCAATGGAAAAGGCAGCCATCTGTTAATCTTCTGTTAAGAAAGGCCTTTTGAAAACTTCTTATGAGATGAATCCTAGGAATTTACTGGCTCCCCAGAATAAAAACACTGAAGAGACAGCCAGATACTACTCAGAGTTTTCAAAAATGGAAGTCAACTACATCTTAGTACATCTATTTTTTTCTCTTTTCGAGACAAAATTTCACTATGTCATCCAGGTTGGTCTTGAACTCCTAAGCTCAAGCAATCCTCCCACCTCAGCCTCCCAAAGTGCTGGAATTACAGGTGAGAGCCACTAGGCCCGTCCTTTCCAAGTACATCTAGACAAGTATATTCTAAAAGATCTATTCTGCTTGAAAGATAAGCAGATTTTTTTTTTTCATTTTTGCTTTTAGAGCCCACCAACCAATCCGATCTTATTTAAAGAGGCAAAACTTTCACAGCACGGTCTTCCCTTTCCTCCTTAAACAAATAACCACACCTGCTCACTACCAATTCTACCTAAATATTTTTATTCCTTTAACAAAGCCCTTGATTCTGCTTTATATCCTACCAGACCTATTTCTGATTTTTTTTTTTTAACCTTCTTGGACTGTCCTAAACTTGACCAGAATATTAAAAGCCACCCCACAATTACTTTTAGCAGGTGGCTGCATGCATGGACACATGCTGCCAAGTTTCTCAACTTACTGTCCTCTCAGTCATAGCCATCTTAATAATCCCAGCAAGAACTTCTTTGGTTGTCTTTCCAGATTCTATTCCTTCCCTTTCATGCAAAACCAGGTTATGATTTCTAGACTTTATTAAAGGGCCAAATCCCCACCCCAGGGTAGTAGTAAAGGAACCCATCAAGTGCTGCTCCTCCAGACTTGGGATTACAGGAGAAATGTGTTCCTTCCCTCCAGTTCCCTCTTCTAAGCGTTCCCAGCTTGCTACCTGTTGGCAGTGCTGGTGTTGCTGCTCCCGCTGCTGTGTTTCTGTGCCCGGCTCAACCTCCGTGGGGGCTTTGAATGCTGCAGTCGGGGGCTTGGCATGGACGGGAATGAAGAGGCGTAGCCATGTTCACACTCTGAAGAGAGCAAGAAAAAAAGGTATAGTAAGAAGAATATAGTACCCAAATCCATTGAACCACAAATCCAAGGTCTTTGCAGTAATAGGTTTTTCAAAGCAAGAAAAAAGGTACAACGTTTCCACTCTTTTTGGTTAGAAGATTAATGTCCATCGCCTGGACATCAATCCTGTGACACCCCATCAGCTGCAAAGTGTTTTGATACCTTCTCTAAACCAAATAATTTATCCCCCCTTTCCAAAATCCTTCTCTCCCCAAAATTTTTTTTTGAGATTTCAGATGCTTTAGAACAACATTTTTTTGACCAGTTACCATTCGCCTCATTGATTTTACTTGCCTCAAAAATTCCCCTTTACTTTCAACTCTCTCTGTTTTAAAGAGTCTCTTTTAAGCCCAATATTTTCGTGTACTTCGAACAAGTCTTACAGAGACATTTTCTCTCTTGACACAACAATCTCCGAGTTCCTGCTCTTCTTGCCCCACCTCCACAGTCCCTTGGGCTGCCACCGCCAAAGGGGCCCTATCTCATCACCCCGCAGGTATTCAGAGGCCCTTTCCGCACGCTGCCAGTCCTCTGCCCACTCTCCACCGGCTTTCCCCCGCTCAGTGTTCTCCTGGCCTTGTCTCTTCCCCAGACACCCCCAGCATCCGCGTTCCTCCTTCTTCTTAACTCCCAACACCCTCTCCCACTCCAGGCCCCGCTGGTTTCTCCATGGTCACCCTCTCTCCAGTCCCGGACCGTCCTCTCTCCAACTCCCCTCGGCCGGTCTCCTTCCCGCTCCCCGCACACCCACAGCCCCACCCTCCAGGCGCACCCTCGCACCTCCCCCCGCACCTGCACGACCTCTCACACACGCCTCCACTCGCGATCTCAGCACACACACTTCCCCACGCGCACCTCACGCGCGCGAGCTTCCCACGCACGCGCGCCCCTCCCACACGCGCACGCCCTTCCCGCACACGCCCCTTCCGCCGCACCATCCCTCCCACCCGCGCACCCTCACGCGCGACCCTCCCCGCACACGCCCCTCCTCGCACACGCGTGAGCCCCTCTCCTCAGATGCCCCTACCCTCACATGTGCGCACCCCTGCCCTCACACACACGCATGGCTCTCCCCTCACACGCGTGTTCCCTCCCCTCACACGCCCCTCCCCACAAGCGTACGCCCCTCCCCTCACACCCGCGCACCCCTCCCCTCACATGCGCGCGCCCCTCGCCTCACATGCTCGCCCCCCCATGCTCGCACCCCTCCCCTCACACCCGCGCGCCCCTCCCCTCACGCGCGCTTCCCTCACACGTCCCTCCCCTCACACGCGCGCACCCCTCGCTCACACGCGCGCTCCCCTACCCGCAGACGCCCCTCCCCTCCCCTCACACGCCCTTTCCCTCACAGGAGCGCACCCCTCTCCTCACATGCGCACGCCCCTCCCCTCACATGCGTGTTCCCCTCCCCTCATACGCCCCTCCCCTCACGCGCGCACCCCTCCCTCCCACGCCCCTCCCCTCACACGCGCGCTCCCTACCCCACATGCCCCTCCCATCACACGCGCGCTCCCCTCCCTCACACGCCCCCCCTCACACGCGCGCCCCTCCCCTCACGCGTGCCCCTCCCCTCACGCGTGCACCCCTCCCTCACACGCCCCTCCCCTCACACGCGGGCACCCCTCCCTCACACGCCCCTCCCCTCACACGCCCGCTCCCCTCCCCACACGCCCCACCCCTCACACGCGCGCTCCCCTACGCTTACACGCACGCACACCTCTCCCTCACATGCGCGCACCTCACACGCGTGCCCTCCCTCACCGGCCGCACCGCACTCCCCATAAAGATTAGTAGCGCTCGGGCTCACGCAGCGGCGCCCAGCCATTACCTCGCTCCCGGCGCTCCAAAAACTCGGCAGCCTCCAGCAGACGCTGCACGTTGATCATCCTTACCCGCTCCATGGGCACCGCGGGTGGCGATCGGCGCCTCTCTGCACTCCCTTCCCGGGCCGACAGGAGGCGCCGCAGGCGGCTACGGCGAGGCGCCGTCCCGGAACATGTGCGGCAGGCGGGCGGGCCAGCCCGGCCGCGGCTCGGCGCGCTCTCCGCTGCCTCAGCCGCCCCAGCCGCGCCAGTCGCGCCCGCCGTGCCACCGGCAGCCCGCGCGTGGTTTGTTTACCTCTCCGCGCGAGCACGGGGGAGGGGCGGGAGCAGCGCCGCGGCCCGCCCCCTCCCGCCCCTGCCTCTGCCCCCTGGGAAATGTAGTCCTGCCCCCGCCCTCGGCTGCCGGGAATCGTAGTGCGCACGCCGTTTCAGGGCGCCTGCGTTCCGCACGATTCGCAAAGGTCGTCGGAAGGTGTAGTCCCGCTGGGTTTCCTTTCCTGTCTCTAGGGAAGCCTAAGAAGTTGTGGGACTCTGCTTCTGGGAGGGAAGGATTTTTTTTTCCCCCTCCAGACACGATGTGGAATGGGAAGGATTTGAGCAAGCTGGGAGTCTACTCCCGGGGAAGCTTGTTTCTCAGCGACTCCCTGCGGTTGCCCAGGGGCTGAGACACGCTTTATTCCAAATATCATGTTGCAGTCCTTTATCTCCTACTTTCTCATGTAACGTATGTGCCTCAGTTTCCTCATCTGCAAAATGAGAAGAGTAACACACCTGCACCAACAGCGCACACAGAAACTGGAAAAGCCGAAATTGCTGTTCAAAAACGAGGGATGATTTCATCAGAGAGGGTTTCCATGAAACCCTTCTTCCACCTCAGCTTACACACAGACAAGTAGTTATCTTACTTTTTAAAACTTTCTCCTCCCTCAGTCCCTCACTAATACTTTTAGACGCCAGAAAATTCTCCCTGGTGCTGAACAGAGTTTGATTCAAATCCTGACTCTGCTACTTACACTGACAGTGTGAACTCTTCCAGTCTCATTTTCCTTATGTATAAAGTGGATATGATCATATCCACGGCCTTGAGCGCGTGCCATGTGCCAGGCACTGTGCTAGACTTAGTGTGCATAGTAAAAGAGAAACAGACGCAGACCTGCTCTCAAGGTTCATGTATTCAGTAGGGCTTTTTGCGAAGATTAAATGCAGTAATTCCAGCACTCAGTATATACTAGGCACTCAGTAAATAGAAGCGATTCTGATGTTTTTCTCTTACGCTGTCCTCTGTAGCTAAAAGGGGAGTTAGCTAAAAAGAGCAGAGACCACATTAAAAGACTGCCACTGGCCGGGCACGATGGCTCACGCCTGTAATCCCAGGACTTTGGGAGGCTGAGGCGGGCGGATAACCTGAGGTCAGGAGTTCGAGACCAGCTTTGCCAACATGGTGAAACCCTGTCTCTACTAAAAATACAAAAATTAGCCTGGCATGATGGCGGGTGCCTGTAATCCCAGCTACTTGGGAGGCTGAGGCAGGAGAATCGCTTGAACCTGGGAGGCGGAGGTTGCAGTGAGCCGAGATCAGGCCACTGCACTCCAGCCTGGGCAAAAGAGCAAGACTCAGTCTCAAAAAAAAAAAAAAAAAAAAAAAGCCCCTGACTGCTCTCATGGCCACTCTCTTTCTAAGTCCTCCATCTAAAAAATTCTCAAAGTCTAGACTAGGGTTTCTCAACTTTAGCATCATTGACATTTTGATCTGGGTAATTCCTCCTTGAAGCAGGAGCTCTGTTCCGTGCTTTGCAGGATGCTTAGGAGCATCCCTGGCCTCTACCCACTAGAGGCCAGTAGCACACTACTACCCCTCCGGTGTGACAACCAAAAACGTCTCCTGGGGCACAAAATCCCTCCCCTGTCCCCTAGTTGGGAACAAGGGATCTAGGGAGAGGAAGGACAAGAGGATCGTACTTGTTGAATGCTCTAGGAGCAAGCTGGGAACCATGCAAACATACCCATAACTGTTCTCCACCCCAATTATTTATTTATTTTTTTTTTTTTGAGACGGAGTCTCGCTCTGTCACCCAGGCTGGAGTCACCCAGGCTGGAGTGCAGTGGCACGATCTCGGTTCACTGCAAGCTCCGCCTCCCGGGTTCATGCCATTCTCCTACCTCAGTCTCCCGAGTAGCTGGGACTATAGGCACCCACCACCATGCCCAGCTAATTTTTTGTATTTTTAGTGGAGACGGGGTTTCACCGTGTTAGTCAGGATGGTCTCGATCTCCTGACCTCGTGATCTGCCTGCCTAGGCCTCCCAGAGTGCTGGGATTATAGGCGTGAGCCACTGCGCCGGGCCTCCACCCCAATCGTTTTAACCTGCTGGTTGACATCACATCCAAAATAACACGAAGCTCCTGGTGAGGGAAGAATTTCCCCCTCCCGTGGTCATTCCATTGGCTCCTGCAGAAAATACCATCTTGAGATGGAACTCTTACCCTCTTAAAAATGTTAACGGCTTCATGCTGCATTTTAACATACCTTTCCCCTCATACCTTTTGTTTTCTTTTTCCTTTTTCCTAAAGTGAATAAAATCTCCAGTGAGGTCACAAGCTGCAAAATTCTGCCAGTCCTTTTAAATATTACACTTGGCACCACATTTAAAACCAAATAGATATTCCATCAAATCCAAGAAGACCCAAAATGAGAGGTATTCACAAGCCACAGAATAACTTTTTTTTTTTTTTGTAAAGGCTTTGAAAAAGGGACTGTTTTTTTAGCTGTTGACTAGGTCGTTTCAGATCTGAGCTTTCCCATTGGGTGTTGGTAACAACTACCCTCCACCCTTAACAAGGGCCATGTTGGGTAGGGGTGGGAGTGGATTATTTTACAGAAAATATCATTCATTTAGAACATCTGTTAGTTGAGGGTAGAATTTTTTTTTTTTTTTTTTTTTTTTGAGACAGAGTCTCACTCTATCACCCGGACTGGAGTGCAGTGGTGCGATCTCGGCTCATTGCAACCTCTACCTCCCGGGTTTAAGCAATTCTCCTGACACAGCCTCCCAAGTAGCTGGGATTACAGGCACCTGCCGCTACGCCCAGCTAATTTTTTGTATTTTCGTAGACACAGGGTTTCACCATGTTGGCCATGCTGGTCTCGAACTCCTGACCTCGTGATCTGCCCGCCTCAGCCTCCCAAAGTGCTGGGATTACAGACGTGAGTCACTGCGCCTGGTCAGGACAAATACAACTCTACTTTTCCTAATAGGAGGTAAACTTGTGTGACAAGCAATCAAGAAAAGTAGTACAAACTGAAAATATACATGAATTCAAGATGGCTTTAATTCCAGAGGTCACAGAGCCATAGCTGGTTAGGAAGAGATGGCTAGATGCAAGAGGCCTGGGGCCTATGCATGGCCTTCCACAGTTGACCTGGTCCAGGTGAACTAACCTAGAGCCCTTCTTCTAGAGCCATGGCCAAGAGGGAGATGAGGACATGGAAAGTGGAGCGAGACTCACCAAAAGGCCACCTGCATTGAAGAAGAGGAGAGATGATGATCATGGTGGGCAGTATTAAGGGCTGGTTCATGTACAGAAATCTCCAGCCTTTTCCAAAAGCAACTGAGGTACCACTTCCTTCTCCCTGCTCTGGCTGCCTCCTGGAGTCCTTCCTAGGATATCAGCTATAAGGGCCTCTCCAGCACAAAGCTTAGGGCTCTATCCACAGGAAAGTAATGCTACCCACAAACCATCCCTCAGCAACAGTCTCAACCCAGAGGAACCCAGAGGCAGCCATGGCCTTTCTTTTGCTCCAATGAACTAGTTTCCACTACAAATGCAGATGGGGAAACAGGAAAAGCAAGGCTTCCGAAGTCTACTGATATAAGAACCTGGAATCCTACCCATAGTCTCTGTTCTGCCCTCTCCCTAAAGTATGTATCTCTCTCAAGGGAGTCATTTGAAAATGGAAAAAGTCCCCCAGAATCCCCCAGGCCTATAACGATCACAGCCACAGATGGGGACAATCTGCCTTCTGAAGGAAGCAGGCAAAGCCCTCAATTCTTAAGGGTCCTTTCTCAGCACAGTTTACTTAGTGACAATTTCCAAGTGATTTATTGCAGATTCATAAACAATGGAGGCTGATGTGTTGTATCTTTTCTTTAGGGAGGAGAGATGGGGAGAGAGGAAGGGGCCATGAGGTTAAGTTACAAGTCCAAAGTCACTGTGTTGATGACACCTTGCACTTTGGAAAACTTCCCTGAAACTGCAAAGTGTTTACTGAATAGGGCACTGTTTTCTGCAACTATCTTTAAGGATGGGCGTTTTCAAATACTCAACATTGGGGATAGGGGAGGTGAACTACAAGCTCTTAAGTGAGAACCGTAACAGTTACACATTTTTCCATCCCCCACTCCAAAATGACTACCGCAGCCTCCTCCCCTCCTCTTCCCCCGGAGCCCAGAAACGTGAAGAACAGCAGAAAACCTTTCCCTCGCCCGGTGAGTCAGCCTTGCCTAAGTTCATGCGTAAGCTCTCCTCAAGTCAGCGGCAGCTCAGAGCTGCGGGTCTCTGTGCAGCCGAGATAAATTTGGGCCTAGAAGGGATGACGTAATGCTAAACCCGAGAGGTAGCTGCCGCCTCCCAGGGCTCCGATCGCCAGGGCTGCCGGCTGACATCCCAACCACACGGAAACGCACCAAGCGACTCAGGTGCTGCCCGAGCTGGGGAGAAAGGGAAAGGACTTGGGGTGGGTGGAACGCCAGGGGGAGGCAGTGTTTATCTGAGACGGCTGAATCTGGAAGTTTGTTGTTTTTTAACTCCAGTTTTACTGGTGAGATCAGACCACTGGCAAAGGCTCAAACAGCTGCACTTGACTTCCATCCTGACCCATCTCTTCCCTCTTAGAAAAGGGCTTCTTACATTTTATTAAATGGCCCTTATTACAGCAGCCTATTTCAGTGATTATAATGGATGTGTTAATCTCTCAAATGTCCTTTTCCTTCTTTTTTGCATGAACTTGGATCCAAGAAGACGTCTGCATTGCAGGACTCAATTAACATGCACATCTAAGTGGCTTGCTTACTCTGGAGCACCCCACTTGGGGTGACACCAGGGTGCTACTGATAAGGTATTTGGGAGGAGTTTGCTAGGGCCATGCCAAGTGAATATTTCCCCAAATAACATTTCAAGGTTTATGTCATAGAAGTTTGTGTTATTAAGTTTGTTTCTCAATACAGTCCCCATTTTTCAGTTGAGAAAGTTCAGGCTCAGAGAGGTATGGTAACTGGCAGAAGGCCAACAGCTGTCTATCAAACTGATGGAATAAGGGTTCGAACTCAAGCTTTTTAAACCTGTGGGGCCCAATCCTTTAAATATCAAGATCAAGTTACATTCCCAAAGGATCCGAGTGCTGTTTTTTTCTGTTCGTGGTTCATTCTTCCCCAAGGAAATGTTGCCATCAGAGTGAACTCCTTCACTCCTGGTGATGACCGCAAGCCTTGGGCCCAACCTCACCCTTCCACTATAATTAAAAGACCACCACAGGAAACAATCTTTGCTGTGTCAAAGTAGTTTTCTTCATTAGAAATGCCTCCCAAATACTTTTCAACATTTATTAGTGTAATCACATTTATTCTTTAATTTGTGCCTGTAATCATTTATGCTGGTAGATTTTGTGACTTTCAGCAATATCTGGCAAATAACCTGGTCGGCCATGGTGTGTGATTCTTTTGAAGCACTGTTCAGTTCCAAGAGTTGATATTTTTGTTTAGGATTTCTGCATCTATATTTGAAAGCAAAAATAAACTGTATTTTTTCTTGTGTTTACTAGATGTTGGTATTGCAATAGTCTGTTCTTTCAAAGTTAGATATAACTTGTTTTTAAAGCCTTAAAAAATAAAAAAGACTGCCAGAGGCCTTCTCCTGCTGCTAAGAGGATGCCCCACATTCTTGCCAAAGCCCTGGGTAACCTTCCCTCCCCTGCCAGGAGCTGGCCTTGAGTTGCCCTGCCCCCACCCCTTGGCATCACCACCCTTCTCCAGGCAGCAGAAACTTGTGGAGGTCACGCTTAGGTCCAGCCAGGCCCTGAACACCAAACCACACAACTAGCTCCTGCCACCTTGTATCTGAGTTCTCTCAGTCTCAGATGCAGCACTTATAATAAAAATAACATTCTCTTGCCTGTCCAAGGTGTAGCTGATCTCACCAGCTCTTCCAGCAACAGTGGTTTGATTTGAGGAAGCTGGGATTGTCCCTAGATCCTAGAACAACACGCATCCATTTGCCTACTAGCTGCCACGTAACTAGGGCTGCCATGCACGTTGCTGCTCCTCTAGTCAGTTCATTTAATCCTCAGCACAACTCTGAGATTCCTGTTTTACAAATAAGACCCAGAAAGGTTAGGTGATTTGCCCAAGGTCACAAAGGCTATGAAAAGATTTGAACCTGAATTTTCTGACTCTTGGACCCTACAGCACACATCATGTTATGTTCAATCGCATAAGGTCAGACGAAATTGGTTAAAGCAATGGTCTCAACCAAGGGCAATCCCATCACACTAAGAGGTGTTAGAAACATTGTAGGAATGTCTTTTTTATTGTCACAACGACTAGGGAGTTTCCAGTGGCATTTAGTGGGTGGGAACCAAGGATGTTAAATCCTGCCATATTCCAGACGAATCTGTACAAGAACTGTCACACCAACAGCTCCTGTGTTGAGAAACACTAGGTCAGAAAGATAAAGGCAGAAAACTCATCATTTATTCAATAAATATTCCTTAAGCATCTGTTATGTGCCAGGCACTAAGCTAGATGCCAAAGATAAAATAATGAACAAAACTACTTATGGTCCCTGTCCTCTATGTGCTTATATTCTAGCCCTCCAGACTGACAATAAGCAAGTAGAGTAAGTGTAAATTGTGATGAGTAGAATACAGGATAAATGATAAAAGTGGGGTAAGGTTTAGGTGGGTGGGTGAGGAGTTCTGGGATGATCACAAAGACTGTTTAGGACATCTTCTCAAACTTTAAGGAGCACACAAATCACCTGGGTATTGTGGCAAATGCAGATCCTGCTGCAGCAGACGTGGAGTCTCATTTCTGACAAGCTCCCAGCAGGTACCAAGGCTCTCCATCCTCCAATCACATTCACTCTGAACGGCAATGATGAAGGCCATGGCAAGGAGTTCGGATTTTATTTTAAGTGAGGCAGGAAAGAAACTATTGAAGGGCTTTTAAAAAGTAAGTAACAGGAACCCAGTTACATTTTGGGGTTTTTTGCTTTTGTTTTTGTTTTCTGAGACAGAGTCTCACTCTGTCGCCCAGGCTGGAGTGCAGTGGCACAACCTTGACTCACTGCAACCTCCGCCTCTCGGGTTCAAGCAATTCTCCTGCCTCAACCTCCCGAGTACCTGGGATTACAGGCACCCGCCACCATGCCCGGCTAATTTTTGTACTTTTTAGTAGAGATGGGGTTTCACCATGTTGGCCAGACTGGTCCTGAACTCCTGACCTCAGGTGATCCACCCACTTCGGCCTCCCAAAGTGCTGGGATTACAGGCATGAGCCACCATGCCCGGCCAAACCCAGTTATATTTAAGATCCCTCTTATCTCCTAGCTCTGGATCACCGAGAGGAAGAGGTTGGCCTATGTCATTGTCTGACCGGAACCAGCTGACCCACACTGTCACAGTGGCAGCGAGGACCTAATGTTCATCTCTGCAGCTCACACTTGCCTCTCTCCTCTGGCTTCCCTGGCAGAAGCCCTTGGCTCCATGTATGGGCCAGCCCAGTTGCCCTACAAGCTCAGGCGCCTCCAGAAGCCTAATACAGCCTGAGAGGGTGTGGATTCACACCCTGACACCCTCGTATGCAGAACCACAGGAGACCTACTGGTTGGGTGAGTTCCCTACTGGGGGTGCTGGGCAAGGTACTACTGCACATGCAAGCAGTGACACCCTAAACCATCTCCGTCTAGAGAAAGGAGCCATTTGGCTCCACTGTCAACACCCAAAGGGCCCTGGAGGTTCTGACAGCCTGCTCTCTACCCTAGCAAGAGTGGGGAGAAAAGGAAGTCACTCCAGGGAGGCATCCCCAAAGAGACCCTCAGCCTAAGTTAAAACATTCCACATTCCAAATCTTTTTTTTTTTTTTTTTTTTTTTTTTGATGGAGTCTTGCTCTGTCACCCAGGCTGGAGTGCAGTGGCGTGATCTCGGCTCACTGCAAGCTCCGCCCTCCCAGGTTCACGCCATTCTCCTGCCTCAGCCTCCTGAGTAGCTGGGATTACAGGCGCCCGCCACCACGCCGGGCTAACTTTTGTATTTTTAGTAGAGACGGGATTTCACCGTGTTAGCCAGGATGGTCTTGATCTCCTGACCTTGTGATCCACCCACCTCAGCCTCCCAAAGTGCTGGGATTACAGGCGCGAACCACCGCGCCCGGCCTCCAAATTCCAATTCTTGCCTCTTGCACATTTCTTACTCCCCATGGCTTTTCCCAGAGCCCTAAGGTCTCTCTAGGAAGAAAGAAAACCCTGAGGTTTTAGTCTCTACTCCACTATTTATTAGCCTGTGGCCTTAGGAAAGTTAGCCTTGCTAAAGCTAAGGCTTTCCTCATCTACAACATGAGGGTTATTACAGCACCTGCATATTGGATGTTTGTGAGAATTTAATATAAAGCGTGTAGCAAGCCGGGCGCGGTGGCTCAAGCCTGTAATCCCAGCACTTTGGGAGGCCGAGACGGGTGGATCACGAGGTCAGGAGATCGAGACCATCCTGGCTAACACGGTGAAACCCCGTCTCTACTAAAAAATACTAAAAAAAAAATAAATAAATAAAGCGTGTAGCATTGTGCTGGCCCATAGTAGATGCTCAATAACAGGAGGCCATTATCACCATTCCTTTGGAAAACAGAGAAGACACTGCGCTTGTCAGCAGCTCTCTTGGGAAAGGTTATCACACTCCCAGAAGACAGACAAAAATTGTTGACTTATTTCTATGTCTGTCATTTGAACTAGAATATAGACATGGAACTGGAGATCATACATGCTTCACTTTGGAAGCACCAAGCACAGAGCTTGGCTCTCTGGCAGGTTTTAGAAATTATTTGTTGAACATAGCTCAGTTTTACAACTGGTAGAAAAAAATTGAAGGTTGTATGCAAGGCACGCACAGTCTTGGGAGCCAAGAAATACGGCAGGACGGTCAGGCTGTAGTGGAGGTAAGAGGGAAATAACACACGGGCACCATAAGGTAGTTCTGGGCCCCTGTAGAAATAAAAACAAAGTCCACACCAGCTTTCACTTGCCCAGAGCAACCCTGGGCATGCCCTCCACTTCAATACAATAGCCTTCCTACTCCCAAATCATCTTTATTCAAGTATCCTTGCTAATGGCAATAAAGACACAGAAAAAGAAATTTCAAATAGTAGGTAATCCAAATCCCCTTTTATTGGCTTTAGTTTGAATTTCTCAATCTCCCTCTCCCTCAGGACCGTGTGTTTATCTTTCTAATTTTGCTGTGTCTAAATTTCCTTACAGACACGGGAGTTGGATATTAGAGGTCTGTGGCCAAGAGCATATTGTACAGGAGAGTGGACTTGGGAGGAATGCTGGTGTGGACAATCCTCCAAGTGCAGAAGGCCCCTATCTGTAAAGAACTGACAGTGGAATGTATTTATTTACAATGTTGCTTACAGTTTCCTAAGCTCAGGCAGTAAAAGAAAAAAAAATAGATCTGTAGACATTACAAGGACAAACACAAAAACACAAAGGATTGTAGGCCGGGCACGGTAGCTCCCGCCTGTAATTCCAGCACTTTTGGAGGCCGAGGTTGGCGGACTGCTTCAGCCCAGGAGTTCGAGACCAGCCTAGGCAACATAGCAAAATCTGGTATTTACAGAAAGTAAAAAAATCAGTGGGGCAAGGTGGCACACTCCCATAGTCCCACCTACTCGGGAGGCTGAGGCAGGGAGGATTGCTTGGGCCCAGGAAGTAGAGGTTGTAATGAGCTGAGACTGTGCCACTGTACTCCAGCCTGGGTAAAGAGCAAGACCCTGTCTCCAAAAATATGTATATATTTTAAACATACATAGAAGAGACAGGGAGGGAAGGAACTACTCCTTTAGGAAGCCCAGGCTAAATTTTTATTCAGTCTATAACGATGGCTAGAACCAAAGACAGAAAACCTCAAGTCAAATGCCATCCTGCATTGTTGGGCTTCACTTTAAGACAAGTGAAATTCTAAAACCTGGCAGTGGAATCGTACACTCCATGAGGACAGGAACTCTACCTCTAAAACCTGGCACTACAATAATACACTCCATGAGGGCAGGGACTCTACCTCCAAGACCTAGCCCAGTGCCTCCCATTAAGCAAGTATGTACTCTTTATGTTTTAATTAATAAATGAATGAATAAACACAAATTTAGGGAGAATGGCTCACAACATAATTCCACATCTTACTAAAATAGTTGCCACAAGGGCTTTTCAAGAGGTTTCTCTAAATTTTTTTTGAAAAAGAATTCTGTTTACATATATTTCCTAGAGTGTATTGCTCAAAACAAGGGTCACCTGAACTTTCAAAACATTTCATAAGCAAGGGGCCCAGCACACATTCTGCCAAGATGAGGAAGCAAAGAAGGAGCCTCCTGCTCAGCATGATGGTGGCAAATGCCCATTATTTTTGACCACAAAGATCAAGTCAGCTGTTGACAGCTTTAACACCTCTAGCCAGGCCACTCGGATACAATGACATCAGAGACAATTGCTTCCTTTAAGTTAGAAGAGCCAGAGAGCAGGTGTCTGTCCCTGGGGAACTGAAGCCTCTCCCATTCCCTTCCGTCCTCCCTCCCTCTTTTTTTCTCTCTCCCCACTGTGAGTCTAGAGCTCCACTCTTGACCTCCAGCAGGATCCCCCGAGACTTGAATTCCTCCTCCTCAGTCAAGGCTTGGGATAGCCATCTGGACACTGCCACCACCTTCTAGCTCCTCCCTCCTCCCACCCCCCAAATGTAAAAGACAGTATTTTTCTAAGTATGGCAAATTGAAATTAGCTTCATTTTGAAAGACTATTGAGAATGTTGCAACGACCTTTGCAATAACCGGACACACCCTGGGATCAGTAAACCAGGTTTGAAAATTGCTGACTTTACGAGCACTGGACCTGTGAAACAAATGCCCAGGTTGGGACTCTACCTGGAACTGATTCTCATATCAGGTGGGAGGGAACACAGCCCAGAAAGACCTGGTTCTGCCTCTGCTGTGTCATCTTGGGCAAGCCAGTGTCCCTCTCTGGGTCTCAGACTCCATGACTGTACAGATGATGGATGCTCTGTGACCTCTGGGGCTCCTTCTGGACCTTATGCTCTGTGGTACTACCTGCCTCCTTTAAAAACAAAACCTGGACCCAGAGCGGTGGCTCACGCCTGTAATCCTAGCACTTTGGGAGGCCAAGACGGGCAGAACACAAGGTCAGGAGTTCGAGACCAGCCTAGCCAGCATGGTGAAAACCCGTCTCTACTAAAAATACAAAAATTAGCCAGGCATGGTGGCACCCACCTGTAGACCCAGCTACTTGGGAGGCTGAGGCAGGAGAATCGCTTGAACCCAGGAGGCGGAGGTTGCAGTGAGCCGAGATTGTGCCAATGCACTGCAGCCTGGGCAACAGAGTGAGACTCCACCTCAAAAAAAAAAAAAAAAAACCTGAAGTGGACCGGAAAGAAACATTGGAAGGGAGAAGAATAGTTTAGGAGGCCAGATTACCATAAAGCTCCCGTATTTCTGCCTGCTGAAAACTGCTTGCCTCATTCTGCAGAGAAACTCCCATTTCTTGCTGGGTTGTTATTTTTTTATTTCTTTTTCTTTTTCTCCTTTAAAAAAAAAAAAAAAACTCAAAAGCCACAAAACCACAATTCATCTCCCCAAAACAGGACATTTGGAAGCCAGAGCTGTCGGGGGTTAGGTGTGTCAGGCTTGACATACTGGTGGTATCTAAGCGAAGACCAAGCCAAGGCAAGCATGTGCTTCTCCTCCAGAAACCCAGTTTAAATCAATATTTATCCAACTGTATTTATAGAAAGTGGTGGTGGTAGGGAGGAGGGGGTGGGGTAGGGAGGCAGGGGGATCTAAAACAGAACAAGCCACAATGACTGATGCAAATCTTTGTGGCCAATTCGCTTCTGCAGGGCTTGGTTTTTTTTTCAAAAGGCAAAAGACCCAGCTTTTGATGAACCTGCTGTTGGCCCCAGTACCATAGCAACAGCCCCAAGTCCTCTAATATGCCCAGAGGACAGACTTGGGAAAGGCA